TCTTCCCCCTTCTGTTTTCCCCCCTCTCCCTCCCCTTTTTTGATTTCCCCCCTTAATCTCCAAACGCGGTGACAGATGGGACATTATTTCCCATTTGTCCCCATCATTAATGCATCCCGGGGATGGATCCATCACGTGCCATCGTCACTGTCCTTCCCCCACCACGGTTCCGTCCCTGGGCAGGTTGTTGGTCCTGCGGAAGACACCAGGGCTTTAACGTGAACAGATTTTAATTCCTTAAGAGCGTCAAGGCAAAGCCCCCGGGCTGGGAGGGGAACTGGAGCAGACGCAGCTGCGATGCTCTTGGCAACTGGTTGAAACTGGGGCAGCTCTTTAAGGCTTATCCAGCCCGGCGCTGACCGAGCCGATGCTCATTAAGATCCGTTGCTGGATTGGGTTGGGTGAGAGCGAAACATGTTGAGGATGATGACCCTGATAGACCGAAAAAATAGATAGAATAATCCAAAGAGGCAAACCCAACGGATTCTGTCTTCCCTGCCTGGTTTAGGGAGTGTGCCCGTCCCACGCTCCAAGTCGAAAGCAGAGACGCTGAGTAAAAAAACCAAAGTACTTTTTTCTTTTTTTTTTTTTTTGTTTTGGTAGATATTTTTCTTGCCTGGGACAAATATTTCATAAAGCAAGCGGGACTGCTGGGGAGGTGGTTGGTTTCCAGCATGTTTCCCCTCTGGTTTTTCCCCCCAGTTCTCTTGAAAACTAATTTTTATTGAAAGCAGGAGGTGCCGGACGGTGTTTTCCCAGCCCTCAGTGCTGACCTGGGGTGGAAGGTGATAAAATCCTTTTAGGGAGTTAATACAGAGCTTGAATAGAAAAAAAAAAATCTTCGTTTCTTTAGGTCAAAGAGTCCTAACATCCCTTACATCCCTTTGTAAGGCTTATTTTGATGCTGGCTCGGGGGAATGGAGTTCTGATTCGTTTTGCGGGGGGTGGGTGGAGGTGAAGCCCCCCTGGAGCAGAGCCCAGGGGATGGGGAGGTGGGGGGGGTCCATGGAGCTTCATCTCAATGGGCAAGGGAAGGATGGGCAGGCACGGAGAGGGCTGCTGGAGGTTGGGCAGGGGGTCTGCTGGCTTGTTTTAATTTCATGGCTTTAGGCTTGTTTTAATTTCATGGCTTCATCTCCCCTTTATTCTTCTTCCTCTGTGTCCCTGGGTTTCGGGGCTGGGGGGTTATCTGTTATTTCCCTGCGAGCTGCGGGGAGGGGTAACCACGAAGCCGTGTGAGTGCTGCTGCTTACCACCTGGGCTGCTGGAAAGGGGAAAGATGTGCCAAAAAACCCCCAGTCCCCCCGATTCTGGAGAATAATCTGCAAGTTTTAAAGGCATTTCTTGTTTATTGCTGGATTTCAGTGAAAGCAAATACCCGTCGTGTGGCACACCAAGGTCGTGGTCGTGGCTATCGGCCGGCAATGCTGGCGGGGCGCGGGTGGCCGTGGCTTTTCCGTCCCTTCTCCCTGCGTGGTTGCAATGCCGAACTTGCGATTTCAGTCTAACAGATGCGTGAAATACCGCATGGCTCCAGCGTGGGTTATTTCATGAACCCAGCCTACAGCCTCGCTCCATCAGCGAGCCGGCTCCTTCATCCCGCGCATGATGCCGGCCGGCACGCGGTACCCGAAACCCTGCTCCGGGCTGGGGGAGATGTTCCTGCTGGTGAGCAGGACTGGTTTTGGTTGAATTTAGAAGGCAAAAAAGCAGGTGAACCTGTAGAAATCTGGTTTCTTTAGCACTTGAGGCTGATGCGGGGTTGCCGCTGGCGTCACGTCCTTAAGGATTTTTTCCTCAAGCTTCGCGCCCATAGTTACTGGTTATGATGTTTTGTTATTGTTATGTTTTTTTAATTCCTCACAGCCTGCTGCAAACCAGGTTGGGTGAAACGTGGCTGAGATCCTGTGCAGGGGCGGTGTGCGTGCGCCGAAATCACTCCCCTGTCTCCCAGTTTTTGGAAGGAATGAGGAAAATGGAAAAAAAGGGGGTTTCTGCCCCAAAAGTCCTCCTGGGAGGGGTGTTGGAGGAGGGTGGCCTTGCGTGGGGACTGCGTGTGGTCCATGCGTCAGCCCTGGGAATAACACATGGTCGGATAATACATCCATCACGCCATCGGCGATGACCGCGTGGGGTCCAGCACTGCTTCAGCCAGGTGGGGAATTCCGAGAGCTCTAAAAAATACACTCGGTGGGAATAATCCCCTCGTTGTAAACGCTGAGTGGGGATAACGAGCTGCTGGGGGACGTGCCGGGAGGCGGGGGTGAAGCCTTGAGCACAACTTGGGTGTCTTCAGATGCTCTGCGTCAGCTCAGCTGGCCGTTGGAGGTGGGGTTGGGTGGCACCTTGCTGCGGTTCTTCTTTTTGGGAGGCGGGCAAGTGGCTCGGAGCTGCGCTGGCATCTCCCGTGGCGGAGGTGGAGGGAGATGATGCCCCAGTGCCAGTAGGTTCAAGGCAGAAGCTTTTCTCGAGTTGTTTCTGACGCTGTGGCGAGGGGACTTCTTCCAGCATACTGGCTTCTCTTGGATGAGCTGCTTCAAAACGCCCCACGTCCCCTGGGCTTTGGTGACGGGCTGAGCCGAGCCAGGGGAACCCCAAAAGGAGGGTGGCTTCTCCGGGGTCCAGCCTGTAGCGTCCCCAGCTGGGGGAGGAGGATGGCTATGGGCTTGCAGCTGAGTGGTGACATCTTAGGATAAGGTGGGAGAAGGTGCCAGCGGTTCTCTTTTGGGGCTGGAAGGTGGTGGAAGGAACTGGGCAGCACGTCCGATGCTCTCTGCCGGTGGGGAGAGGCCAGTCCTGGACTTCAGTCGGGCTTTTGGAGCTGAGAAGGGCTTTTCCCTGGAAAGCTTTCAGGGGTTGATGGTTTGAGACACACTGGCACTTGACTGGGGTTTGCTGGGGCAAGGTGTCCTCCCTGTGTGCCACTGCCATCGCTGGGGGCAGCAGGACTGTCCCCTTGGGAGCTGGGCACGCAGCACCACCCAGGACCTGACCTGGATGCCTTAAAGTAGCCCCTCTGGGAGATGTCTGAGAGTTCTGAACATGAAACTCCTCCCGTTCTATGGGGTGGGCCCTGCAGAGTGTCTGCACTGGGAGCAGAGGTGTGGGGTCAGCCCTGGGCTGGTGACAAGGACAGGCAGGAGAAGGGTTTAGGCTGTGGGTTGAGTAGCATAGGATTGTCATTGGTGTCGTGGTCCCCCTTGGGCCAGGTCCTCCTCACTGTGTCTTTCCTGGCATGGGGTGGGATGGGTTTGGCTGGGATGGGATGGGATGGGATGGAATGGATGGGATGAGGTTGGCTGGGATGGGGTGGGATGGAATGTATGGGATGAGGTTGGCTGGGATGGGATGCAGTACGATGGAGTGAGATGGGATGAGATGGGGTTGGATGAGATAGGATAGGATACAATGGGATGAACATTGCTCTTGGCCTCACAAGGCTCTTAGAGCTGAGTGCCCAGCCCTGAAATCCCTGGTGGCAGCTGGGGACAGGAAGAGGCCATGGCTGCTGGAAGAGAGGGGGTTGGGAAGGCTGCCAGAGAGCCCCATTTTCTCTAGCTCTGGCTTCCCCACTTTCTTGCAGTGCCTGATTTTTGACCAGCAGAGCCACCCCCGCAGAGAGACGCGTGGCATGGGGGGCACGTTGCAGACGGGGCAGGGGTCTTGGCCGTGGTGCGGAGGTTCAGCAAGGATGGCTGTAGGCAGCATCCTTATAGTCATGTTGCTTGTGCAGCCCCCAGTTAGTGTTTGACAAGGCAGATGGTTGTCCATCACAAGGTTCTGGCTGTCTTGTGCTATTAAATCAGGAGCAACGGGACCATGCCGCCGCTCTAGAGGCAGAAGGATTGTGTCTGGAGCATGCCAGCCTCCAGCGTCGCGGTGCACGGCTCTTTGGGTCTGCATGGGCCAGCTTTTCCTGCGGTTCTCGCTGTGCCCCACATTTCCTCGCTGTCCCCGGTGTCTGTCCCCAAACTACCTTAGAAGCTCTGGATGTGCCAAAATTGTTTGTGGGGTGCAGAGGTTTGGGGTCTGTGTGTGCAGTGAGCGCAGGGACCAGCCTTGCAGCTGAGACCAAAGTTTGAAGCTCTTGTTTTCCAGCTGCTGAAGACTGCTGGTGGAATCAGGGTGTTGGGTGTTGATGGTTTGCAGGTGAGCAGAGCTCCTCCTGCCTCGTCCTGCAGGGCTGGTCCTTCAGGATTTGGCCCAAAGCTCCTGGGTGTTGCTGGCTGGCTGCTGGTGGTACCAGTCCTTCCAAGCATCCTCCTTGAGCTTGTCCCAAGGAAGGGCAAAGCCTCGGAAAGCCAGCTTCCAGCTGCCGATTGGCTCCCAAAACCCGGCTGTGTGCGTGGGGTGGCTCGGTTGGAAAACTCATCCTTGATGTTGGGAGAGGTGGTCCTGCTCTGTGCTGGTCCAGCATTGGAGCTATACCAGGGGGGGATGCTGGACACTGCTTGGTTGGGGGTGATTGACTGCAAGCAGGGTTATGGGTGCTGGTCTGGGTGAGCAGTGGATGGGTGTCTTAGCTAGATCCCCTGTGGACCTGGGTGTCTCAAAACTCCCTGATGCACAAGCACATCTTGCAGCCAGGCTGGGAAGGTGTTGGGTGGTCGTTACCTCTTGGGAAGCCTTTGCAATGCTTCCTGTGCATCCGTGCCCCGAGATTGCTTCATGGCGAGGTTGGGAGAGCCACCACGGCGAAGCTGTGAGAGCCACCAGGCAAGGTTGGGTGTGTTGGCCATCTCTGAGGCTATGGATTTAGGTTTCCCCACAGAAAGCAGCCCCCCGTTGCTGGGAAGTGGTGGACATCAGGAGGACGTACCTTTGGAGAGCCCCCCTCAAGGGACAGCAGGGCTGGCTGTGGTGGGTCTGGGGGTCGTGTCCCCCTGTCCCCACGCAGCTGGCCAGCCCAGGGTGATGCGGGCAGGGGTGTGCATGTGTGCATCCCAGGTGTGCATCAAGAAGTTTCCTTGGAAATCCGGCAGTCAGCATGAGGAGGCGATGTTCTCAAGACACCTTTGGCCCCGGCAGGAGGTGACTGGGGCGAGACTGGGAGGAATGGCTTCCCAGCTCGGCGCAGGGAAGTGGGATGCTTCGGCAAGCTCTCACCAGCTGCCGTGTGATTCCTGGAAAGTCTTTGTCCTTGTGCTGGGGTGTGCCTGCAGACCCTCACCCGGGGCTTTGTCTTTGCAGGAGCAGGAAGATCCAGATCCGAAACATCCCCCCGCACCTGCAGTGGGAGGTAAGGAGTGGCTGATCCTCAAAACATCCTGTTCATCTCCACCTCCATCACTCGTGCTGAGCAGCACGAGCATATGGTCCACGCATGGGCTACCCTTCACCTTCCCAGTAACCCCAGGAGGGAGGTGGAGTGTGACCTGGGCTCCATCTCTTGCCTTGTTTTGGGTCGCGGAGCCGTGGGGCAGCTTGGAGCAGTGGGGCATCGTTGGGGTGATGGGATGCAGGTGGGTGAAGGTGTTGAAGGAGTTGGGTGGCGCTGGCTCTGTGGTGGGTGTCTGTGGGTGAAGCAGACTCTTCCCTGCCTGCTCCCTGCCTGTCTTGCCTGCCTCACCTGCCCTCTCTGCTGCTCTGCCCCCCAGGTGCTGGATGGCCTCTTAGCTCAGTACGGGACGGTGGAGAACGTGGAGCAAGGTAAGATGCTCCAATGTGCTGGTCCCTGTCTGTGCAAAAGTCCCAGCGCCGCTCCCCAGCTCTGCCCGCGCCAGAGGAAATCCAGTGGGGTGAAACCTTGTTTTCCCCATCATGGCTGCTGGGCTAAAATGGTTTTCCCCACAGACCCATGTCCTGCTGCTCGTCCAGCGGTGGGATGGTGGTGGCCATCAGTCCTCCAGCCCCAGGGCTTCTCCTGGCTGCTGGCACATGAAAACCCAGTTGTCCCCGCAAGTCCAAACAAGCCGAGTGTTGTTCAGGGTCTGTTGGTGGGTCGGTGTTGTCTGGCCATGCATCTTCTTTGGCGAGGGTGGCAGGATCCGGCTGTGGCACCTTCTGGTCCTTTGCCAGCCCAGCCCAATCCTGGTGCTGGGGGACAACAGCAGTGTGCAAGCGTACGCGCCGCATGGTGCCCGGGGCTGTCCCCCATGGGACAGGCGTTACCATCCCACCATCCCTACCTGTGTCCACACTTTGGGGCATACTGGGGGGCCAGGAGCACCAGCCGTGTCTCCCTCCTCCCCTGCTCTAACACTCCTTCTCTTGCTCTTCCCCCAGTCAACACTGACACAGAAACAGCCGTTGTCAACGTAACATATGCGACAAAAGAAGAAGCAAAAGTGTAAGTGGGTTTTATTTAGTTTCCTCCAAATTTTCACTCCACCCCAACTTTTCCTCAGGAATTCCAGGTACTTTTCCCTGACTGTTTTTCCAGGCTTCTTCTTGTCTTCTTCCTAAGCCTCCTTGGGTTGTTTCTAAGCTCCTACAGGGTAAGCTTCAAGTGCCTCCAGGGCAAGCTTCAAGTGCCTCCAGGGCTGTCTGCGTATCTTCTCGAGACACAGCAGGCAGACGTTGTCTTTATCTGGATCTGCGTCACCTCCCCTGTCTTCTGCCAGCAGCCAGCTCCACCTTCTCCTCTTTGCCCTGCTGCTGGGTGGTCTCACCTTCTCCCCTGTCATGGGAGATGGGGTTCCTCATGGTACCCCATCTCAGGATGGACCAGCTTGGGGGCCATCAGCCATGTGGTTGTCCCCTCCTCCTCTGTGCCTTCTCTTCTCTCCAAGGGGCTCACAGATGTGTCATCTTGCAGTTTCCTCTGACATGGTCCTTCCTACACAGGGTCCTTGGTGGGGTCGCGGTGGCCTTGTCTTCAGGGAGCAAAGCGCTCGAGAAAGCTGAGGGTCAGGGCAGATCAACAGTTTGTCGAGGAGTCGCCTTCCCAGGTTGGAAGTCCAGACCTAAACTGGGAACACACCCCATTCATCACCAGTCTGACCACCCAGCCCGAGCTGCTGAGGAGGTGGAATATGGTGAAAGGAGGTGGGAGAGATCGTGAAGAAGGGCTGCGATGATGGGAGATGGAAGTACCCCCTGCCATTTGAGGAGAACTCAAGCTGGAGACCAGAATGTTCAGGGACTATCACCTCCTGCTTCCTGGAGCCCAGAGAAACCAGCTGATGGATTTCTGAAAGGCTTTTGGAAAGTTCTTCTGCTGTGGGCAAGAGAAAGGGCCTTTGGATGGATAAATAACTGGTTAGAGGAGGTGGGAGGGGTCCACCGCTGGTTTCTGCAGGGGAGGGAGGGCAGCAGAGGGTAAATCACCTGTGTGTTGTGCAGAGGAGGTGTAAGGAAATGCCACCTATCAAGAAAAACTTCACAAGGATGGAAGAACCTGGCGAGGCTGTGCATCCATCCTGCTGTGGGAAAACATGCCTAGAGATTTATCATGGCCAGCAGAGGAGAAGAAATACAAATTAGGGCTTGTTTCAGAAGTGCAAGGACTATTTCAAGCAAAACGCTTTGTTACACGCTTGTAGAGACTTCAGCCCGGTGCTAGACACCACCCTGAGTTGGCTATGAGTAAGTAGTGAGCACCTCTCACGGTTAGTGGTGATACAAGCAAGAGCCAGGCAGACCCCGTGCAAGGAAGAGCCTTGGCCCAGAGTCTGTCTGCTGATGGACGGTTCCAGCATCTTCCTATCCAAGTTGACCCGTCCCAAGGTTGGGCTTGTGAGGACAGAGATGGGGAGAATGATCTGCTGGTCCCCGAGGCTGGAGAACACCTTCCTCCTGTTGGGTTGGCCACGCTGGGCATGCCGTTCAGCCTCGGCTGGCCAGAGGAAGGTGACTGCCAGCGGGCGAAGGGAAGGTGCCGTGGATCACAGGCAAGGCGTGAGCTGCCGTGTCTTGGGATGTCTGGCAAGAAGGGAAGAGAAGGAGTCTCACCAACAACGTTTCGTACTTTGGGGTAGGAGTCTTCAGGATTAGTGGAGCAGCTGTGATCTGTCACATCCAGCCAGACTGACACCCGTCTTGGGTGGTGCTCAGCAGCTCGACACAGAAGCGAGTGATGGGAGGAAAGGCCAGGGCGGCTCATAGTCACAGAACGGTTTGGGTTGGAAAGGACCTTAAAGACCATCCAGTCCCACTCCCTGCCATGGGCAGGGACATCTCCCACTAGCCCAGGTTGCTCAAAGCCTCATCCAGCCTGGCCTTGAACCCCTCCAGGGATGGGGCATCCACAGCTTGGGTACGTGTGTTTGGTTTAGAGCAGGTTGTGACAGGGACAGGTGAAATAAAGACCTCAGTAGGGAAATCGGACCATGGGGCACTGTGCTGGTTTTGGAAAGGGATGGTGAAACTGCAGAAGTCCTCACGGGATGTGCAAGGAGCTGCTTGCAGTGGTGCTGTTGTATGTCTATGAATAGCCAGCGTGGGATGTGGTGGGAAGAGAGAAGAAGCATGGCTGAAGCCATCACCACTCGCAGAAGTCATCGCAGACTTCAGTCCAGCTGAGCATCGCAGCGCTGAGGAGGGGCTTGGGGGGATGAAGAGTCCAGGTCCTGCACCCGTAGCCTTGCTGAGCTGGAAGGGCAGTTGGGGATCCCAACAGGCACCATGTACCCCATCCTTCTCCTTGGAGTGGCAGCTCTTACTCGGAGCCCCTCCATCATCTTTTCCACATCCAAAAAGCCCCCAGGACGGTTTTCATGTTGCGTGATAGCTTCTGGCCAGTGTTTTCCCCGGGTGAAGTGGTGGATCCCCAGGCTGGTGTCCCACTTCTGCCGGAGGGACAAGCCGGGTGGCATCATGCCTGTGGGAGGGGACACTGTGCCACTGCTCTGTGGGGCTTGCTCCTTACGGGGAAAATGGGGGGCTCTGGCTTCCTGTGGCCACCTTCTCCAGCCTGGGGAGGGAGGAAGGTGTAAGGGTTGGGGAGGGACGGTGACCTGCAAGGGCAAGTTCTGGAGATGTCCCATGCCTGTCCCTCACCACCCCCCTGCCTCTCGGTCCCTTGCAGAGCAATTGAGAAGTTGAGCGGCCACCAGTTTGAGAACTATTCCTTCAAGATTTCCTACATCCCGGATGAAGAGGTGAGCTCCCCTCCGCCCCCGCAGCGATCCCGCCGGGGGGGCCACTCTTCCAGGGAGCGGGGCTCCTCCCCGGGGGGCTCCTCACAGCCCAAACAGCTCGATTTCCCACTGCGGATGCTGGTGCCCACGCAGTTTGTTGGTGCGATCATAGGAAAGGAGGGCTTGACCATAAAGAACCTTACTAAGCAAACCCAGTCCAAGTAAGTACCTTGAATGGTTTTGTTTCCTTCCGTAGGGCGCTGGAGGTCCCCGCCATGGGTCTCCCATGCACTCGGGGGGTTTTTGAGGGCTGGCCAGTGCTGTTTTGTTGGGGTGCTGCCTTCATGGGATGGTGGCAGAGCCCATCTCCTAACGCGTTCCCGCTGGCTGGGGGGTCTGGGTGCGGCAGGAGGGGGATGCACAGCAAAACCGGCCAGGAGTGGGTTGCAAAAGCCTCATGGCGAGAATGGCTGGGGATGAGGCTTTAGGGAATAAACGGCAAGTTTGTGGCTAAAATACTGAAGGGGGATCCTAGGTACAGCGGCCGGTGCCTGCATGGTCTTTGCTGTCGGGATTTGCTCGTCCCGCAGTGCTTAGAGCTGTTGGAGGGGGAAAGGGGGCACCGTGGGAGCACTCCCTCGAGAAGGATGGGCTTTATGCAACTGTTTGAAGCCTCTTTTTTCTTTTTTTCATTTTTTTTTTGTTTTTGATCTAACATTTTTATTTTTGAAGGAAAAAAAAAAAAAAGAAGAGTGGGGGACTGTCCTGCTAAAGTTTTCCATGTTTCTTTTTGTTGATATTCACATTGATTTCACCTCTGATTTTCTGCATGCTTTTCCTGCATGGTTTGTTCCTGCCCAGATTTGTTTGTGTTTAACCCAAAGCTGTCTTCTCCCATGCTCATCATCCTGAACCCGCTGGTCCCACAGGACGTAGGACTCCCGTACCAGAACATCTTCCAGGGCCTCCTAGTTCTCAGAGAAGCTGTTAGAGGCAAATTATTTGGTCATAGCACGTCTGCTTGAGCAGGAGGTAGCAAGACACGCCGCTCTGCCGCCGAGCGAGCCGAACCCCAGCGTTGGGTTTGCAGGAGGAGGTTTGTACAGAAAGGGGGCAGATGCTAGGGAGAGGAGCTCTTTCAGCCTGGCTAGCCCTAGACTGTGGCCACCTAGTAGCGGTGAGCTGGTCCCAGTTGGCCGCAAGCCCTCCTTCTGCAGGTGAGTGCCCTGGTGTGATGGGCAGACGGGGTCCCCATGGCCTTGCTGCTCAAGACTGGAAGGTTGCCCTTCGCAAGCCCTCAGCGAGGAAGGTGGTAGGCACTGGCTACTGGTTTCTTCTGACCGTGAAGCCAAATGCTGCTGCCTGGGGCAGTTTCTGCTGCTGAGCCGTCACTCTTGGTGGGTTGGTTCCCTGTGCCTGACCTGAAGACCTGGTGTCGTGGGGGCAGGCTGTGCTCCATGCTCTCGCCTCTCCAGACCTGCCTGAGGAGGCCACGTGCCATGGTGGGCCACCACCTCCACTCCAGCCTTGGGCAAGGGGGACCTCGTGCACCCAGCCGACGCAGTCACAGGAGACCATTGCCTTCAGTTTGGGGTGTCAGCTGGTGGCTCTGTCCGTGCTCAGGCCACCCTCACCCACAACGTGATGGTGCTGGTGACATCCTGCTGCCCAACCCCTGCTCCTACCCAGAGCGACATTGGGTCATGGATTCCTCTGGTCACATCGGACTTCGCCCCAGGGATGCCCAGTGATGCTCCTGGGCTGCAGGGGACAAAACTTTCCCCAGGCTGAGCCATCCCTGGCTGAGGAGGAGCCCAGGCCAAGACCCACCCTACCGGTTGACCTTCCACAGCCATGGCAGCCCTTGTCACTTGAGGAGGAGAGGACCATTGCTACCCATGCAGCCATGGGGCCAGGATAACCCTCTGTGCACACTGTACTGCCCACCTCTAGAGGGCTGTCCCTCGTGGTCACTGCTCTCTGAAATGTTCCCAGCCCCTCTGTAAGGTGTCTTGGAGGTTTTTCCTGCTGTGCCATAGGCAAACCTGCTCTGTCCCCATCCCACCATCCCTGGTGTCCGCTGCCCCGGTCTCCCCTGCCTCCAGCACCCCAAGATTGCAGGCAGCTGCTGATGGGGTGAGAGGGTTGAGGGTCCCCTTCTCCATCCTCCTGTTGGACTGGAGCTGTGCAACAGCAGCACTGGGACGTGCTGGGAAGTCCAGAGCCTTCCTCCAGCCTCGAGCTCTTTGGAGCAGGACATGCCGGGACGCAGTGACCCCTCCTGGTGCCCCATCTTCTCTCTGCAAACTGCTCTCGCGCCTGCGCATCCAGGTTTGGGATGGATTGGGGGTCAACCAGAAACAGGTCTTATGTCCCTCTCCCAGGCTTGTCTGGGGTACTTGTCACTTCAGTACGTCCATTCAGTCTCTTCATTCAGCCCATCTGTGGCTCTTGGCTCTTCTTCGGTCCAACAGCTGACCTGCATGCCCCGTCTCCACCAGCCTCCACCGCTCATGGGTTCAAGAAGGTGCCTGGCTCCTGTCTGTGGGGTTTGTTGGGGCAGCCATGGGTTCCTCATCGGTTCCACCTAGCTGGGAACGACGACCCGCTGTGACATTGTGGCACTGCTCTGGAGCATGGACCTGTCATCGCCTCGCATGGCACGTCGTGATGCGTTTCCCATCTCCCTGGTGGCAGGGGGTGTCCCCGTGCCTGCCGGGCGCTGGCTCTGAAGGAACACGTCTTCCAAGTCGACCTGCTGGAACTCCAGAGCTGGGAGCACCTTAGAGGGTCTTACAGGCGAGTGACAGCGTATGACTGGGTCACTGTGTGCTGTAGACACAACCGGAGGGCGAGAAGAGTCTGGTGGTGCTGGTGCCTTTGCACAACCCGAGCAGGAGCCGTACACTGCCCAAGCAGCTCTGGCTGAAGCTGTAGGAGATCCAGAGAGATGTAACCTGCAAGGGGGGATCAAACTCTGTCTTCATTCCCTCTTCAATGCTTGGGTAAAACCACCCTGGGGTCCCTTTTGAGGCTGGTGGGAGTTGGGCTCTTCCCTTATCTTGGGGAAGGTTCACCCAGCTGCTCCCCATGAAGCTGGGGAGTCCTTGATGAAGCATCCTTGATGAGGAAGTGTCCTTGTTCCTATGTGCTGGTTCATGAGCTCCTGGAAGAGTTGACCCGTGCAAACCCACCATGACCCTACAACATCCAAATGTGGCACTGGTTAGGGGGGGACTCTGCACCACAGCCCTTCGCCTTGCACACACAGCAGCACCCAGGAATGATCCTGGTCAGGATGGGGACCTCTGATGAAAACAGAGGCGTGGCCAGAGGGTGCCATGTTGGAGCTGAGCGCAGGTGGCATTCATTGGGTGGCCAAGCGGCCACTGCTGCACCTTCTCAGAAGATCTGGGCCAGCCCAGCCCCGCCTGCAGCAGTGACAAGGTGGTGGCTGATGGCAGGATGTCTGCACGGCATCATCCTCCAGTGGGAAGAGCGCACGAACTCGTGGAGAAGACAGGAAGGCCGCCTACCGCACTTCTTCAAGACACGTGGTTGATGTGCGGGAGTCTTCTACCCTGCTTTCCTTTCTCCCTCTCTCTCAGGGCCTTTGCCAGGTACGGTTGAGTGGTGAGGAGCGACCTGGAGGCACGTGTCTCCTCCCCGCCGTGAGCTGAGGGGAGGACCAGAGGAGCTAGAGCACGGTCCTGGCCGGGGCGCGAGGGAGAGCTTTCTGGTCTCCCGTGGAAGGGCGTGAGTACGAGCGCTGTTGTTGAAGCATGCGTCCGTGTTGGGCCAAAACGCTGCCTCTGGGTAAGTTGTCTCCCTGTCCCCAAGGACACGCAACGGTCGTGGCAGCCGCTGGTCACTGGACAGCCTCGGGTGTTGTGGCGGAGAGAGGCTGAGGTTGGAAGGGACCTCTGGAGACCTCTGAGCTGGTCTCCTGCGCCAAGCGGGACTGGCGTCGAAGATGATAGAGCAGGTTGCTCAGGGCTTTGTCCAGTTGAGGAGTTGTTCTGCCCTTTCTTGATGCATCGTTTGATATTGACTGACATCCCTCAGCTCCCAGGGCAGACCTCAGGTCCTAAAGGTTGAATGTAGCTCAAAGTCTGATCGAAACCAACCAAAGTGAAACACGACCTGGGCTTGCATGAGACCAGGTGGTGGTAGATGCACGTCAGGGAGACCCAGGTTCACCCCAAACCTTGAGCAGGTGTCAAAATGAGCTTTTCCATGAATAGCGTGTTCAGCTCCTGATCCTTTGTGTGACACCAGCCACATCTCAGGGGGCTCCTCTCTGCTGGTTGTTTCACCGTAGGGTTGACATCCATCGGAAGGAGAATGCCGGCGCCGCTGAAAAGCCCATCACCATCCACGCCACGCCAGAGGGGTGCTCCGAAGCCTGTCGCATGATCCTCGATATCATGCAGAAGGAGGCTGATGAAACTAAATCGTAAGTGTGATGTTCAGCGCCCCTGGCTCAGCAAAGCGGGCGGGTTTGGTGGAAGGGAGGTAAACTCAGCCATCCGGGGAGAAGAAGCCATCTTCTGTCATCCCCCAGCCCCTGAGGGAGTTGTGGGCATTGTGAGTTTCAAGATAGAGTCATGAGTCAGTTCAGAACTTACAACTTCAGAACTTCTCCATGGTGTGGTTGACAACACCATAGAGAGAAGGTGGGTCCAAAGAGTGTGTAGGAAAACCTGGAGAGCAAAACCCCATGAAATACAGACATGCCATTGGGCTTGGGAAGTCCCTGAGCTCTCGTTGCCCAAAAGCTGAGGAGATACAGTGGTGGATCTCCTCCTTCTGCAATATGACTACTGGTCCTTGCTGGAGATGGGTTTCCTGGCCAGACAGATCTCTAGATTTTAATTTTTAATCCATTTTAGAGCAGAAGAGATTCCCTTGAAAATCCTAGCACACAACAGTCTGGTGGGGAGGTTGATTGGCAAAGAGGGCCGCAACCTCAAGAAGATCGAACAGGACACCGGCACGAAGATCACTATCTCCCCGTAAGTCCTGGTGAACACCAAGCCATCCGTCTCCATCCAGCATGGTACGGGCAACGCTGGAGCCAGAAAACCAGAGCAGTTGCATCCTCCCATGCACGTTCCCCTGGTTGACTCACAGGTTGCCCAGAGCAGCTGTGGATGCCCCATCCCTGGAGGGGTTCAAGGCCAGGCTGGATGAGGCTTTGAGCAACCTGGGCTAGTGGGAGGTGTCCCTGCCCATGGCAGGGGGTGGAACTGGATGGGCTTTAATGTCCCTTCCAACCCAAACCATCCTGTGATTCTATCCAAGTTGGGCATTCTCCATCCCAGGTGGATAGTAGCACTGGGCAGGGAGAGGGTGCATGGTCCCATGCTGTCTCAGGGAAGGGAACCCTCATTTTTGATTTGAGTTTTCCTTTTTTTTTTTTTTTTTTGACTCGGGTTTGGTCTGTGGGCTAGTTTGCAGGATTTAACCATTTATAACCCTGAGCGGACCATCACGGTGAAGGGCAGCACAGAGGCGTGCTCCAACGCCGAAGTGGAGATCATGAAGAAGTTGCGAGAGGCCTACGAGAATGACGTGGTGGCCGTCAATGTAAGCTCCAAACCCTCCTGCCCGAGATGCCCCTGCTTCAGAGCCACTGCTGAGGTGGCCAGAAGAAAACTGGGAGCATTGTCGGTCTGTTACGGCAAGGGTTGGCTCTCCCCAATGGTGTCCACCCGATATGAGAACCCCAAAAACCCCACTCTGCCTTTTACCCATTTCTCCATGTCTTTGCTTTCCCAGCAACAAGCCAACCTGATCCCAGGACTGAACCTCAGCGCTTTGGGCATCTTCTCGACGGGGCTGTCCATGCTCCCATCCAGCACAGGGGCCCGAGGGGCCGCGGCAGCCACCCCCTACCACCCCTTTGCAGTAAGTACAAGAGGATAAGGGGTGCAGAGAATGTGTTCTTGGGGGCAGAGTGGTCTGGAGAGTCTCCTGGTGTTGCTGTTGGGTTTGGGTGGACACTGTAGTTTTGGGGAGCCTTGAACAAGAGCTCTGAGTCTTGGCCGTTTGGGGAGGATGCTCTTCGCAGCAGCGAAGCAGAGAAGACATTGAATGGCTGTGGCTTGGCCCTCCTTGCATTTCACTCCCTGGGGGGATCAGCCACGTCCCCACATTGTGCTGAGCCCGGCGTCACCAGTGTTTGAGGACTAGCCGTGTCCCAAGGGTGCTGCTGTCTAAAAGTGGCTGGGGCCAGCCTGCGCCGATGCTGGCATGGAAAAACCATGGAGGTGGTCCTCAGTGCTGACCCCGGAGCCACTGCTGGCTCCTGATGCTGTGGACTCGGTTGTCCCCCATGGGTCTGGTCCCAGTGGCCACGTGAACCTGAGTGTGGCATGGATGGGGAGGAGCAGCTCGCGCCATCCAGCCGTCAGCCTCCATCCTGCCCTGGCACCTGGGGGTCATGCTCCGTGAGGGGCTGACCTTCGCCTGGTTTTGTAGGAGAGGCTTTTCCTCTTCCTCTGGGGCTGCTGAGACCTGGGGCAAAGCAAGCCTGGGAAGGAGCTTCCAAAACACAGGCAGGGACTGTCTGGTGTTGGGAAAACATGTTGGCCAAAGTGCTGATGGAGAAGGTCCACCCCCAACCCAGCAGCACCTGCAGAGCACCCGTGGGGTGAGCAGGCTCTGCCACCTGTCCCCGTTAGTCTCTACATCCTTCGCTGAGATGCTC